TTCTGTCTCTGTCCCTGTGACATCTCTGTCTCTGTCCCTGTGACATCGCTGTCTCTGTCCCTGTGATGTCTCTGTCTCTGTCGCTGTGACGTCTCTGTCTCTCTGTCCCTGTGACATCTCTGTCTCTGTCTCTGTCTCTGTGACGTCTCTGTCTCTGTCCCTGTGACGTCTCTGCCTCCACTCCCCGCACATCCCTCCCTCCCTCTGCTACATTGAGGCTGCTCTCAATTGCTGTCCTTGCCCTACTTCCATTCCCGCCTTTTTTTCTTCACGCACGGCACGCATGCGTTCTCATGCTCGGCATGCTGGGGCCCTGGCATTGGATCTTCTTGGCGACCAGTGACGTCATGGGACTCCACGAGTTTCGATTGGCGAACAGGCTCCCGCACCCTAGGATTTCCATTCTCTTTCCAATCCCTCCCACACACACCCCCGTCTTGGCAAGCATTCCAAAATTGAGACAGAAGCTCAGAGACAAGCAGTGCGCGGTCGTCCCGCTCCACTCAACAACTGGTGACATCACCCAGAAAGTGCGCTGCGTGATTGGCTAACCATTCCTCAGCACGAAGGAACTCCCCCTTCCTACCTCTTCTGACTGGTGCCAGCATCGCATGCGCTGCGGCCGTTAGACTGCGGGGCCAGGCGCCAGGTGGCGCATCACCCTTAGAACCGCTCAGCGACGCGTGACGTCACGAAGGCCTCGAGCTTCCTGATTGGCTGTCCGTCTGGCTCCAGGGATTTCTACTTTCTCTCCTTGTACCGGACTGCCAACCCCCAGGTCTCGCGGAGACCCCGGGGACGGACGTTGAGCCGCCTGATTGGCCACGCCTCGCCCGCGAGGATTCAACTCGACTAGAGAACCTCAAAGCCTTGGCCAGCAGAGGGAGGGAGGAGAAGGAGTGAGGGGCGTGGCCATGTAGGGGGCAGGGCCAGCGGAAGAATGGCGGGGCGGGGCGGGGCGGGGCGGGGCGGGGCTAGGGCTCGGGCTCCCACTCAGGGGCTGCCGGTCCGCCAGCCACGCCTGACACTTCAGAAAGAATGAGGCCAAGCCTCAGTGGGAGACCAGAGATTCAGGAGGACAGAGACTTACAGCGAGAGAGAGCCAGAGGCCTGGCGGGAGAAACATGCACAGGGAGAGAGACAGGAAGAGACCACGAGAGAAAGAGACTGAGAGAGAGACAGGAAGAGACCAAGAGAGAGACACTGAGAGACAGGAAGAGACCAAGGGAGACAGGAAGAGACCAAGAGAGAAAGAGACTGAGAGAGACAGGAAGAGACCAAGAGAGAGACACTGAGAGACAGGAAGAGACCAAGGGAGACAGGAAGAGACCAAGAGAGAAAGAGACTGAGAGAGACAGGAAGAGACAGAGAGAGAGATAGGAAGAGACCAAGAGAGAAAGAGACTGAGAGAGAGACAGGAAGAGACCGAGAGAGATAGGAAGAGACCAAGAGAGAAAGAGACTGAGAGAGAGACAGGAAGAGACCAAGAGAGAGACAAGAAGAGACCAAGAGAGAGACAGGCTAAAGGAGAGAGGAGCAGACCCAGGGAGAAGAGACTGAGGGCCCAAGAAGCAGCCACAGAGACCCGCGAGGAGGCTGACGGGCAGGGCCAGGGAGCTGCAGAGGGCCTGGGAGATCAGCACCTTTGGGGCACAGTTGGGGACACTGAGGCAGGGAGGTGTGATGCCTTGCCCAGGCCTCCCCGCTTTATCTATCCCAGTGCTTCTCATGGCAGTCGAGGCAGCAGAAACTCAAGTGGAGGCCCCCACATCGAGGACACCGGGGATCTCTGATATGTGAACTGCACCCCCTCCCCCTTCTTCCTGGATGCTCTTTACTGAAAGTATACAATAAGTGCTTAATTGTGCATCAGATTGAATGGAACCTGTTGAACTCCCTATTAGACATCTTCAGCAGGATGTCTAGTTGCTGTCCATCAATAAGACTCTGTCTTGAACTCTACATGTCCAAAGCTGAGCTCACCACCAATCGTTGCCCTCTTCCCTCTTACTGTGGAGGGCCTCCCCACTCTCCTCCCAGTCCCCTGGCCCACAGCCTAGAAGTCATCCTGGACTGCTCACTCCTCTGCCCCATATCCAGGCTGTTGCCTGTCGGTTACACCTCTGCATTCCCTCTCAAATGCACCCCCTGCTCTCCTCTGACGCTGCCCCCACACGGGTACAGGGCATCCTCACCGCGTACCTGGCCTATTGCAATGGTTACTGGGGGCTGGGGGGGGGGTCTGCCTGCCTCCAGTCTCTCCCCACTCTAATCCATCCTCCAGCCACCAAAGGGATTTTCCTAAAGCACAAAACCAGCCCTACTCAGTAAACTGCTGTGGCTCCTCATTGCCTCCACGAACAAATACAACATGCTGTGTTTGGCATTCAAAGCCTTCCTGACGTAGTTCCCTCCCACCTTTCCTGGCTTCTTACACCTCACTGCCCGAGGTGTACTCCTCGATTCAGGGACGCCGGCCTTCTGGGTGCTCCGGGATCAGGACACGATCTCCCCCCACCTGCGTTCTCACCGGCCATGAAATCGCCTCCATTTCCCTTGGCCTGGAACGCTCTCCCTCACTGTGTCTGCCCCCCGGGCTTCCCTGCTTCCTGCACATCTTGGCTAACGTCCTGCCTTTTTCTGCCAGCAGCCATTCCCTGCCTCCCTCGGTGTGGGCGCCCTCCCTCGGTCGTTGCTCGGGTTCACCCTGCAAGTTCTCGCCCGTTGTCTCCCCCTTTAGACTATAAGCTCCTCAAGGGCAGGGATTGCTTCTGCCATTGCTTGCATTCCCAGTGCTTAGCACAGTACCTGGAACGCAGTAGGTGCTCAATAAATGCTTCTTGGTTTGATTTGGAGAGCTGGAGCACTGGAGCGGGCCAAATGAATGGCAGTCCCGGGGTAGTTAGATATCTGTCGGGAAACCTTCCCCGTACACGTCCACAGAAGGGGAGGCTCAAAGAAATGAGGCGAGAGATAGACCAAGTGAGACATCGGCCTCTAGTCTCTGCCTCCTCAGCCTGTCCTGCACAAGCTGCCAAAGTGCAGATCAGACCATGTCACTCCCCTGTTCTATAATCTTCAGTAACTCCCAGTTGAGAGAAAGAAACCATGAGATATTTTTTTAAACGGAGTTCACACCTATTTGTACACCCCAGAGGGAGAGACTTTGGCAGAGGTCACCCTGCCCGTCCTTCACGCCCGGCCTCCACAGATGACACTGGTCTGGTCAGGGTGAGAGACCCACGGTGTGTTTATTCTGGTGTTAGCAGCAGCAGTGAAGGAGGCCAGAGACACGGAACAGGACACAGGAGGAACTGGGCACGAGGAGACCAGGCTGGACATTGCCAGGGCTCAGACGCAGGACAGGCCCGTCTGCAAGGGTGGGCTGCGACATTCCCACGGGCTGGGCGCGGGGAGGGTCAGCCTGGGACACGGGGGCAGCTACCGGGAGGGGAAGCCCACGGTGGACGTTCACAGCAGTACGCAGGGGGAGGGATGTGACGATAGGTCCTGGACGAACACTGGGAGTGGGAGGTCAGACGAAGGGGGAGGGGTCCCCCTCGACATGCACAGCCCCTCCCTGAGAGGGGAGCCCAAGGATGGGGAGGACAGACACAGAGGGGCTGGGGCCCAGGTTCCCCCCATACATGGCACAGACCCGCAGGCCTTGGCCTCCTCTGAGCCCCAAGGCCCTGGCTGGGAGGGAGGGGGAGAGGGACGGGGTGAGCAGCCTGGAGCCTCCCTCCCTCCCCAGCATTGGACGGCTAGTCCGTATGGCTTTGAGGAGATGAATTCTCTGTGGGGAGTGTGAGAGCCTAAAGGGCCAGACCTGGTGGAGAGAAGCGAGGAGGAGGCTGGTGAGTCCTTCCCCCTTCCCTCAGGTGCCAGGCATCCACCCCCAGAGCCCCTTTCTTCTCTCTCCGTCCTGCTCCCTCCCTGGCTTCCCTCTCCCTCCGGCCCCCTTCCTGTCTCTTTGGCTCCCTCTCTGTGTCTGGATCTCCTGGTATTTGTCTCCCTGAATGGGTATCTCTTTATCTGTGTGAGCCCTTTCCTCTCGATCTTTGACCCTCCCCCCATCTGTTTCTCTCCTCTCGCTGTCTCTGTGTACATGTATACAGAGACACAGGCAGTCCTCCGAACCTCTGCCGCTCTGTCTCCTGGGCCAGGAGTCCTCTATGTGAGATCTCCCAGCCACGTGTAACCCTCAGAGCCCCGAGGTCCGGCTCCCCAGGCGCCATTGGTGACCCCATGCTCACCCATTCACTCTGAGCTTTCTCTCTCACTCAGTCCCTTGGTACCCTTGGTGAAGCTGGTGAGGGTCTTCTCCTGGAAATGAAAATGCAGATCAGGAGGGGGAGGAAATTAAAGCCCAGTGACCCTGATCGTTTTTAATTCAGAGGCAGCAAGTGGGGGCACGGGTGGAGAGCTGCTCCTGGAGTCACAGGGACCTGGATTTGAATCCTGCATCAGACAGCCGGCCTGTGTGTGCCCGGCCTGTGTATGTGCCCGGCCTGCGTGGGTGACCGGCCTGCGTGGGTGACCGGCCTGTGTGGGTGACCGGCCTGCGTGGGTGCCCGGCCTGCGTGTGTGCCCGGCCTGTGTGTGTGCCCGGCCTGTGTGGGTGACTGCCAGCAAATGTTTTTGGCAAATCTTTGAACACAGGACGTTGCAGAGGAGGTGCTGAGCTGCAGTAACGGAGAGAGTTTCCACACTGGGCACTCCCTGTGATCCTTGTGATCGAATTGCAGATCCAGACCCCTCCCCCATTTCTTAATTTAGGGCAATATCATTGTGATCACTGAGCTTGGGCCTTTGGCCTCTCCTTTTTTCTATCCTCTTTCTATCAAAACGCCATCCACGGCTGAGGAGAGGCCAGCGAGGGGGCGGCTCCTGAGGGGGCTGCCGCGTGCTCGGGGGGCAGTCACCTCCTTCACCATCAGAGGGTTTGAGCTGGAAGCACTCTTGGAGACCATGAGCTCAATTCCTCTATTTTAGGGATGAAGAAGCTGAGGCCCAGAGAGCCCAAGCGGCCGAAGATCACACAGCAAGGCGACCTGATTCTAGCCTGCTTCCTCTGCCTTCAAAGGCGTGCTTTGCTCGTCTCACCGTTTCCCCTTCGGCAGTGGAGGGTTGGAATTGGGGGCAGGGAGGAATGGGATGAGCTTGACGAGGGCTCTACCCCTCCCCAGGCCTCAGTTTCCCCAGGGCACTGATCAGTGGGAGCTCCTGCAGAGGTGATGAGCCATGAGAGATGTTCAAGGGGCCTGGAGGACAGAAGACCCCCTTTCTCTCCCCAGGCCTCAGGCTCTACTACTGGACCGTCTCTGGCCAGTTTGGCCCAGGAAGGGAAAGCGATTGGTGAGGGCCAGGAAGTGGAAGGGGATGGGGCCGTCCTTTGTGGGCCAGTGGGACAAGAGCGGGCAGTGAGCGGGCCGGGTCCTCCCCCACCCCCCAGGCACCCCCGCGGCCTGGGCCCCACCTCCACCAGCTGGTGCCAGTATTCCACAGGCTTTCGGGGATTGGCCAGCATCTCTGCCCAGTGTTCTCGGCCGTGGGCGTCAGCCGCGTCTGCCCCGACTCGGCACACACCAATGACCTCATTGTGACCGATGCTTTGATGGAAGTAAGACAAGGGGAGAAGGCAGGAGGAGGCAGACAAAAGAGAAGACTGTCTGTCAGGGGGTGGTCCTGGCTGGAGCCGGGCCCCATCAGCCCCAGGCCCCCCATCCCAGCTCTGCCTCTGGCCCAGGCCCCGTCAGCCCCAGGCCCCCCATCCCTGCTCTGCCTCTGGCCCAGGCCCCGTCAGCCCCAGGCCCCCCATCCCTGCTCTGCCTC